TGAAAACCCACACAAGACTTCACACTGGTGAGAGGCCATATGCTTGTATCACCTGTGGGAAAACATTCATTTCCAAATCAGATTTGGAACGTCATGTAAGAACACACACAGGCGAGAAGCCGTATTCATGTGGCACTTGTGGGAGAGAATTCCGTCTGAACTCAACATTGAAAACTCATATAAGAGTTCACACCGGTGAGAAGCCGTATTCCTGTAGTACTTGTGGAAAACAGTTTACTGAGAAATCATCATTGAGAACACATATAAGAATTCACACAGGTGAGAAGCCACGTTGTTGTAGTATCTGTGGAAGAAGATTTTCTGACATCTCGGGAGTGATAAAACACATGAGATTTCACACAGGCGAGAAACCGTATCCTTGTAGCACATGTGGGAAAAGATTCAGTCAGAAATCGGATATGGCCCGTCATGTACGAATTCACACAGGTGACAAACCGCATGGTTGCAACATTTGTGGGAAAATATTCATTCAGAGGACCAGCTTAAAGAAGCACATGAGAATTCACACACGTTAAACATTCAGACTTTAAAAATGTGGGACAACTGTGTGTGAGCTCACACTGAGCAGAAATTAATCGCTGCAATGCTTGAATGAAAAGATGATCCATTTTAAAGTCAGTATTTTCTGTGCAGAATAGTGAAGAACTCTCACCATTGTTTATTAGGCCTTTTTCCCCTCATCCCTATAATTGTATCAGGCAAACTCTGGTCTTACATTTCATGAAGGTTAACATGCTGCATGCCCGTGGCCTGTTGGTTCATTGTTTAGTTATTTTATTTATTATGTGTTCTTAAAGTATTATTGCAGGGTCTACCTTGCAGTTGTGATTGTTGTTGTGATTTCGCGCTCTATAAATCAAAATCGAATTGAATTATGGTTCAAATAAAGACTTTATTCAAAATCTTTTGAGTGTTTATTTCCCTGAGGTGTAATCTCTAATATAATCTCTATGTAAGCAGCATAACAGAGGGTTCTGCTTTAATGCATGTGTGTCAATCTCGTGGCCTATGTCACCCTTACTTGCGGCCCGCATAATGACGTTAAGAAATATTTTTAAATATTATTATTTAAAAACATTATATATATATTAG